AAGGGATTCGGCAGAGCACTCTTCTTGTCCGACAAGCAGATCAAGGGGGTCAGGACCGTTCTCTTTCCATTTCTCAACATCCTTGGCAGGGGGCAGCCCACCGTCTTCCTCCCGGTGCTCGCTCAACAGCCAGCGCCACTCACGAAACTTGGGGGGAATGCTCAAAGCACGACGAACCTTAGCCATGTCAGGTCCAAGCTTCAGTTGCTTGCTGATGCTACTCGCTACAAGCAGAAGACGGGAGTTAGTCAGCCACACTTTAAGAAATTCAAATAAAGGGTAGATCAAGAATCACAAAAAGGCATACCATTGCAGTAGGTGATGGGGACAAGCAGGCCGTCACCGACATCGCCCTCCCACCGTCCGCTGACTTCCAACACATCATCATGCCACGCATGATCTCCTTGACTAAGACTGTCGAACAGCTTGGCCTTGTAGATGCGAACTTGGGCATAGTCCTCGAAACGCCTCACTTGAAAAAAATAGAAGAATTCCCGCACCGTCAGCTCCAGCGTGAAGAAACGACTCAGGTTCTCGAAACACTTGATCGCCCGGTAGACATTCGGGGTACACTGACTTGGAGCACACTCCATGGCGCAGAACACCTCCTTGAAAAGCCTTGACAATGGGAAGGTGAAGCCCAATGAAAAATAAAAAGGACGGAAGGTGATGATCCTAGCATTTGGGTCACTCGCATCCACACGAGGCGTGTCATCAGCCCGATACTTCACCAGCTTGACTTGCACGTCATCTGGAATGGCAGAAGCGTAAGCAGCCCGCCACTTTTGGAACTGAGCCTCAGTCGTCACGCGGTGCAGGTTAGCCACGAATCTCTTGTTGTGCACTAGGGAGCCTCCCCACAAATACAGAGGCACTTGAGAGCTTGGGACCTTGCTATCATCTCCAGAAGACATGGTCAATGGGCAACTGCAAGAAGAAAAGAAAATTCCACGAGTTAAATTCTACAAGTTAGAATACAAAAAAAAATAGCAGCAGCAAAAAAAAACAAGGGGCAAAAATTCGAGCTGCTTGGACCAGCCCAATCTGCCACTTCCTCAAAGCTTGGTCAGCAAACAGCCCAGCGCCAAGTCCAGCACGTAGGCCCGCCTCGCACTTGGCCCACTCGCTCCAGCACCAGCCTACGCGGCCCACGTCTCGCGCAAAGCCCAGCGCGCGCCAACTCCAGCGCAAGGCCCAGCGCCTTCTCGCCCCAACTCAAGCCCACCTCGCACACCAGGCCTGGCGCCCTCCTGCCTCCCCTTCAAGCCCAGAGCACGCAGGCTTGAACCAGCCAGCCCTTCCACGCTCCTTCCAAACCTCCAAGCAGCCTCGTGCTATCCTCCAAGCTGCCAGAAGTCAAAGACACAAAAGAATTTTTTCCCATGCTAATTACCTTGGATATGCCGCAAGAACAAGGATTAAGCGGGTTGGAAAAATTCTCCAAAGCTTTCTCTCTCTCACTAACGACGTTGAAGGGATGGATTTCTGATGTGGATGATAAATTGGAGGAGCCCTACATTTATAAGGATAAAAAATTCCTTGACCTACAAGGAATCGCAAATCCTTCCCAAATTGGAGTTCATAAAATTAGCAAGTCGAACACCTCCTCCACTCAGGAGCCCAGGTCCACGCAGGAAGCCTAGTTACAGCTGGACAGCCCAACCATAAAATTAGCAAGTCGAACACCTCCTCCACTCAGGAGCCCAGGTCCACGCAGGAAGCCCAGTTACAGCTGGACAGCCCAACAGATGGTTTACATCTCCTACATGCCACCACGCGCCATGCAGAAGCTGGGGGGCATTTGTGGGAACCTAATTAATTCACAAACCTAGGTCAAATAATTCCTTCCATTTGGGGATTATTTGACCTAATCAGGAATTATTCAATTTAATTGGGGGTTACTCAATTAAATAGAATGATTCCTAATTAGGTTGAGGATTGATTTAAATTCCTACGAATATTCTCAATTAATGGAGGAGTTACCTAATTAAATTAGGTATTGATCTGATTGCTATCCTGATTAGGGATTTGATTTAAATCAATAAATCAAATCCCTAATTAAGTAAAATCTCGCCAAATTGGGGAGGAATAATTCCCTTCCATCTACGGAATTATTCCTCTGAAACCCTAGCTCCCGAGACTCTTATAAATACCTAGCTACACACAAGGGTTGAGGTACGTCTAAACTCCTACTGAAACTCTGCAGAAATTATCTCTCAGAAACCCTAGCCGCCACTCTCTCTCTCCCTTTTACACAAGGCTCCGGCCACCACTCACGGCTCCGGCCACCTGGTTTTTACCACACATACATATTCCCGTACCCTATTTTAGCTATCGTTTCTCTTCAGATCGATTGAACTGACTTAGGCATCGGAGGGCCTTTGGCCAACACCCCCCGGGTGTGGTCCTCTTATTGTTATTCGTTTTGCAGGGAGAAAGAGAGGCGGAGAAGACGAAGGAATCTTTAGGCGAATATTCCCGTGGGAGGAAATTGGCTCCCACAGGTATCTTGCACAATCAAATCAGTCAACAAAATACAGAGAAATATGTGTTCATATACCTTCTGAGATGCAGAGCTTGTCCCAGAAAAATTACATCAATGACATCTGCGACAACAACAGCAAGGAGCTTAAACAGAAAAACATACACAGGTCCTGTTCTCAGCAGGCACCATGCTACCGCACTGATACGTAACGCAGTCCCAACAACCACCTACGTTTTCCAAATTGTATCCCATGATACATACTCACCATTTCACAGCAAACAGAAGAGTAAACAAAAAATTAGGCCAAAGTTCAAGGTCAAAGTAGATTTATGCCTTAAACTAATTCTGACTCAAAGATGCTGGAGGTCCAATTTTTTTTATAAAAAAAACCCAAAAATGAAGTGGGGTTGTGTTCTCCACATCGATTTTGTTCCTTCCAAGAGATGGAACTATGTTTTTCTTGGTTCCGCCTTTGTTGTTTGATTGCATGTTTTATCTCGTTGTTCTCTTGTAATCCTAGTGGTGTGACGAAACAGTAATCAAACTAGGATAGCTCTAAACTATGATACATGCCTGAGCCTCCTCCAGTTTAGGTTTTCCATCCTAATTAATCACATAAAATCATGCGTGACTTGGAGAACAATTAATTTATCCTCAACTTAGCATAAGAAAAATTATTATTATTATGTTTTTAGCCTCAACTCAAATACTCAAACGCCTGACAGATAGAAAGAAGCAACGGTTCGTGCACTTGCGAGTATCACAAGTTGAGGATGCAGCTTAATCCATTTTGGTGGAGCTAAATCTACGCAACACGTAGCAGAGGCGTAATTTAAACCAGCAAGTCCCATTACCTGTGCAAAGTGGAAAAGCGCAAGACAAGTTGAAAATTGAGTAGTACGTACAACTTGAATCTCTTCTAAAATAAAGACAAGGTCTTTTTTACAAACCCAATAAATCCAAGTAAGAAGGAGCTGAAGACGATGTAGAAGCTGAGTGGAGGATGCTCTAATCTGCCATTAAAGAAAGAGTCATATATATATATATATATAAACATGCAGGGGAATGTAGTTTCAAAATGTATAAACAGAGTGAAAGAAACGAGAAGGAAATGAGACCTGTGAAAGATGAAGGAAGAAGGGGTAAGGATGAGAATGGAGAGAGCATTAGAGTAGACAACAAGAGTATATTCACTCAGTCCGCTGCTCATGGCTTCTTTGTTCAATATCATACTAGTCACCTAAGCAAGAACTGCCATCTGTTGGAATCCCACATTGGTGGGGTGAAAGAAAATAAATAGGTTTAAATAGAATTACCACACTCTAACTAATATCGAGACCTTTTGTGGTAAAACCCCACACCTGACGGATTGTGCAGGTGGTAAAGTGGGGACAGTATCGATATTGTTAGAGTGGGACCCATCGGGCAGATCCAAAAACTTCAACATGAAACCCCCTTCCCCATGCCAAGAAGGAAAAAAAACAGCCAGAAAAACCTCTCTGTGTGCTTGCGAATAAGCATTGGTAAAAGACCATGAACACCACTGCTGGGTACTTTTAACGACAAATGCCTGCAAACATTTGCTTGTTCACATTTGCTTGTTCTTTACTTTCAGCTCTAGAAAGGGTAATTGAGTTGGTAATAGGCCTAGTTACCTGCATAATGTACCATAAAGAAGTTGCGAAGGCTTCAGCTGCAAGAAAAAGCCCTCCCAGAATCCAGTTTGATTGTTATGAGAAAAAGGAGTTGATTGGGTGAATTGGAGAGTGATGATGATAGCAGTATGATTGGCAGGCCTTTGTAGAATGTTGCCACAAATGCTCCTGTGATTGAGACTATGGTTCCAGAAACTTTCGCTTGGCTGCTTAAGCTTCTCCAGTGAGTGCACCTTTTCCATCCTCAGTCACCCATTTCAAACAATTGAAGCATATTTGTTCTTAATAACAACAAAGAGGACCTAATTGCAGTATTTTCACTCGCATCTTCTGTTCCAATTAGCGGAAAACTGGAGGACAGCTGACCCTTTGAAATTTCAACTAGACAAGCTGCTGCTATTGGTCATTTTTGAAAATTTTGTTTTTGAATATGAAAGTCCTTGTCACTTGTTAAAATGTAGCCAATCAAGCTGTGGATTAGAGTATCCTATTTCTCTTCTCACCAACTCATGGGATTAGATTATCCCATTCTACTTAGTTTCATAAGAAATCAACTATAAAGGGAAAGTTTAATATATTTAGTCATAGTCATGCACATACATTCGCTGAGTAGGGGTCCCCAAGTTCAAATTACTCTTACTATCAGGAAAAAGCAGAACCTGAAAATGATGGCAAGTATGAAAGTAAATGCTGGGGATTAGGTTAAGCATGGCCGTGGCAAGCGTGGGAGAACTGTATGCTATACCAATATTTCCAAATATCTGAGATGAACATCTGCATGGAAATGCTCAACATATTTTTCTTTTGATAGATGGAAATGCTTAACATATATATATATATATATATATGCATAAATCACATCAAATTGCACATCAAAATTACAAAGACGTCTAAGACCATGGTTTCTATACAAGACAAATCTGTGTCTTATTTTGCACTTTGCAGCAGGGGGGTGCTTTCAGATGATGATTCTGACCACTGCCCTTCTCCACTGTCCTCATGCAACTTCTCTTCTCTGGCCTTACCCCATATCACAGCATAAAAGCCAGTGATAATTACAGCTGCTCCAACCAAGCTGCAGTAAGATTTTGATTACTTTTTATGCACTATTGGCAAATAAAAAAGATGGTATTTAGTACAAGTTGAAAAGCTACACCATCATCTACTACATTTTAGCAAATTGCATCAAGTATATCACATTGAACTCAGAGGTATCTTGCACAATCAGATCAGTCAACAAAATACAGAGAAATATGTGTTCATACCTTCCGAGATGCAGAACTTGTCCCAGAAAAATTACATCAATGACATCTCCGACAACAACAGCAAGGGGCTTGAACATAGAAACATACACAGGTCCTGTTCTCTGCAGGCACCATGCTACCGCACTGGTACGTAACGCAGTCCCAACAACCGCCTACATTTTCCAAATTGTACCCCATGTTACATACTCACCACTTCACAACAAACAGAAGAGTAAACAAAAAATTAGGCCAAAGTTCAAGGTCAAAGTAGATTTATGCCTTCAACTAATTCTTACTTATTTCCTAATTCCAGTTTTTGTATAATTGGAGTTAGAACATGAAATCAGAACATTGGGACGGTAATTATTTCCTTACTGAGTATAAAACTGCAAACAAGCCAATATTGGGTTTTAAACTCCAAGCACATGGGTCTTTTACTAGTATCAGTGAGGCTAATCCAGATTGTATGGTCACAAAGAAGCAGTAGAAGGAGAGTAAGATCAGCACTGCAGGGTACTTCTTAAGGATTAAGGCCTGCAAAAAGAAAAAAGGGTCCTATTTAATTAGCTAGAAGCCTAGTACTTGTACAAACTCACCACCAATACAAATATTAAATCGAATTACCTGCAGAATAAACCATAATGAGGACATGAATGCCTCAGCGGCTAGGAGTGATCCTCCAAGGACCCAATGTGATTTTGGTGAGAAGATAAATTGCAATTTGGAACTTCTTTGTTGTTTTTTTTCTTTGTGTGGTCAGTTAGTTGTAAATAATAATAACAAAAAAAAAATAAAAAAAAAAATTTTAAAAAAATTAAATTTGGAACTTTTTGGTTTTCTTTTTTGTTTTTTT